TGAAGCATCAAAAAAAATTAAATTTAAATTCATAATTTTTTTTTTCGCGACGTATTCCTTATTTACCAATTTTATTGGCATTAATTTATATCCTCAACTCATACATTGATTGGAAATCAACTCCAAACTGAGAATTACTTTTGTTAATATCGACACATTTACATGAAACAGAATATATTTTCTTCACGTAATGACTAATATTTGTTTCTTTTGTTGTTTTTTTTTAATTATTATTCGAAAGTGACAATTGTAGCCCAGAATAGTACATCGACTGCACTGCGTTTGCATGCACAGGTACCATATACGGCAGTCAGAGGTACAATGGGGTGATGGTGTCACATTGTTCATAGACCTCATGATTCAGTAAATGCCAAAAGCCCAGAATTTGTCATTTCAAGATAGATAGATAGATAGATAGATGAGGGAATGTGATTGATACCGAACAGATTGACATAGATAGATAGATAGATAGATAGATAGATAGATAGATAGATAGATACTGAAGAGAATGAGATAGATAGATAGATAGATAGATAGATAGATAGATAGATAGATAGATAGATAGATAGAAGCAGAATGAGATAGATAGATAGATAAATAGATAGATAGATTACGGAATGTGATTGATACCAAACTATTGTGAGACCGGAACTACCTACACAATAGACTCTTCCAGGTCTATATTAAGTATGCGATACAACACCCTAGACAGAGAGTCAGAGTGACAGAGAGAGAGACAGTGTGAGTCTAGTACGACTACCAGTGTTGGACACTAACATATAGTAAGCTCCGCTTACACTATCTCTGTAACCTGTTGTTAATATATCTTTCTTACATCTAATCCGTGTTCCGTGTTTTCCTTCTGTGGTCCCGACTTTAGCCCCACATCACAAACAGAATGATATAGATAGATAGATAGATAGATAGATAGATAGATAGATAGATAGATAGATAGATAGATGAGCGCGAGATTTTTGGTAGATACTCCGTCAAAAACTCACTTTATTGATATTAAATATAAACCCCTATCGTAAAATTCTTAAATTTCTCTTTTTCCTTTCTTTCATTCTTTCTTTCTATTTCTTAACAATGCGATTTTGGCCGCCTTTTAATTGGTTCAACTGTTGAATTGTTTATTTTTACTATGTAGTGTTCAACGATTGCTAATTTCCTATGTAGCGTTCAACGTTTGCTAATTTCCTATGTAGCGTTCAACGATTGCTAATTTCCTATGTAGCGTTCAACGTTTGCTAATTTCCTATGTAGCGTTCAACGTTTGCTAATTTCCTATGTAGCTTTCAACGTTTGCTAATTTCATGTAGCTTTCAACGTTTGCTAATTTCCTATGTAGCGTTCAACGTTTGCTAATTTCCTATGTAGCTTTCAACGTTTGCTAATTTCCTATGTAGCTTTCAACGTTTGCTAATTTCCTATGTAGCGTTCAACGTTTGCTAATTTCCTATGTAGCTTTCAACGTTTGCTAATTTCCTATGTAGCGTTCAACGTTTGCTAATTTCCTGTGTAGCGTTCAACGATTGCTAATTTCCTATGTAGCGTTCAACGTTTGCTAATTTCCTATGTAGCTTTCAACGTTTGCTAATTTCCTATGTAGCGTTCAACGTTTGCTAATTTCCTATGTAGCTTTCAACGTTTGCTAATTTCCTATGTAGCGTTCAACGTTTGCTAATTTCCTATGTAGCTGTTCAACGTTTGCTAATTTCCTATGTAGCGTTCAACGATTGCTAATTTCCTATGTACTTTTCAACATTTGCTAATTTCCTATGTAGCGTTCAACGTTTGCTAATTTCCTATGTAGCGTTCAATGACTGCACGCGTCCCTGTACTAATTTTATGTCATGGGGTGTCTTGTCGGTCCTCTGTGAATATGCGGTATTGTGATATATGCAGGATTGAGAGGTGGTGGACGAGTTCTTGTGGTGAATGTGTAAATTGTAATCATGAATGGGTCGTGATTCGTATTAAGTAGGATTAAGGATTAACTAGGATTAACTAGGATTAAGATAGCTAATGAAGACCAGAATTCCCCCGCCCCCCAGCCACAACTTACCCTTTGGTCATGTGCCAAAAATTTGTATCTTTCCAAAATCAATAAAGAGAAAGAGCATAGTCACTGCATGTAGAAGACGTTCACGTTCTATGTTTGGAGTATTTGTTGTTAACAGTCTTTTTTCATTCGTTTCATTTTTGTCTCCCGAGATGGGAAGTTGAAATCTTCCGGGATAATCAGCAAGTCCAGCGTCAGGACAGCCTATATCTTCGTGAATATAAATCAAAGCTTGCTAACGATGACACCACGTCGAAGAGTCCTGATGATTTCATATGTAGCGTTCAACGATTGTTAAATACAGATGTACAGTTCAACGATGGGGTACGTCCCTACACTAACTGGTCAGAAAGATCGTAGCCGCTGCATCGAGAAGACGTGAAAACGTTTTATTTCTTTCTCTATGGACTGGCTCTCATATAAGTTTGTCTCCCGATCTTCCAGAGACGGAAAGCTGAAATATTCCTGGATAATCAAGTGTATTAAAGTTAAGATTAGATTAAATTAGAAATCAATATAAAAATTAGATTTTAAGTTAACAGTTAAATTTCAAATTAAAAAATTTCAAATGTCAAATTCTAAAGTTAACCGAGCACCATGTTTAATATTATTTTAAGATTATTAAGAGAAAAATATTATATATATATATATTGGGGAGTGTGTTGGAGATGTCCAGGTCAAGTTCTGATTTTAAAAAATGGCATGTGTAAACTAATTAAAAAGATGAAACGAAGTTATTTAAGACACGAACAATATCTAAAGTTAGAAAAGAATAATATATATATATATATATATATATATATATATATATATATATATATATATATATATATATATATATATATATATATATATATATATATATATATATATATATATATATATATATATATATATATATATATATATATATATATATATATATAGATAACCTATATCTTCCGTGAATAAAAGCAAGGCGCTTTCAGGATGATAACCAAACCAATAAACTATGTTGAATGGCAAAAATACTACGACTTATGAAGGGAAACCTCTCAATCCAGACTAGACAAGATCTATCTCCTCAGAACTATTGATCAATGAAAAACAAAAATAAAAAAAGAAATAATGAACATCGAAAGTATCGATAATATAATTCGATAGATAAGTAAACCATTGACTTTTTCTTTCATGACAATTTTTTTTTTTTAATATTTTCTTTCTTTTCTCCTATTATTTACTTAGTGTTACCTTCATCTCCAACTCAAGGAACAGACGAAAGCTTGTAAAAAAATTAAAAGACCTTATGCAACTGGAATTTATGAACAGGGATCATATCATTCATATACAGATTCGGGGTTGATGTATCTTATTTATATTGTTTGCGAAGATGTATTCTCGCCATTTAAATCATTAACCTCTATATTTGTTTTTTGTATGAATTATTCATGAATTTATAAATTATAATTGCATCTTTAATTGAAATTAAAATAACTGATCCAACGTGCAACTTTCGGATAATAAGTGTGACATTACTGTAATTATTGAACAATATAGTTCATGCCATATTCACGGAAAATGTGCCAGTAAAAAAGAATTATCTTTTGTACAAAAATGCACAACCTTAAAATTTAAATTCAAACTCAGCGTTGCGACCGCACGTTTCCAAACAATAACATTTTCTCATAGCATTTTTTTCGGATTACACCTCTATTTTCGTTGTCCTCTTATTACCGAGAAGTAAAAACAAGAAGAAATCTATTTCCATACCTGTGGATGTCTGTAGGAACAGACGAAAGCTTGTAAAAAATTAAAAGACCTTATGCAACTGGAATTTATAAACAGGAATCATATCATTCATATACAGGTTCGGGGTTGATGTATCTTATTTATATTGTATGCGATGATGTATTCTCGCCATTTAAATCATTAACCTCTATATTTGTTTTTTGTATGAATGATTCATGAATTTATATATATATATATATAAAGATATATCAAGTTCATTATAAATAAAACTATATATATATATATATATATATATAGTTTTATTTATAATGAACTTGATATATCTTTATAAATTATTAAAATAAATAAAAGCACCTTCTCTGACGCATTCGATGAAATCTGCATGAAAGAATGATTACTGCCAAAATACAAACACACACACACATATATATATATATATATATATATATATATATATATATATATATATATATAGTTATATTTATAATGAACGTGATAAAATTTTTTCTCCCGAACTTCCTGTGTCTATGGTAAATTTAGTATATTTCAAAATATTTAATTAATTTTTTCTGGGCCTAATCATTAAACTTCTTCTATATATATATATATATATATATATATATATATATATATATATATATATATATAATGTATAATGTCCTTCCAATTAAATGTTTCCTTTTAAATGAAAGCATAAATAAATATTGGCTACACATATATCAGATATATTTCGGGATGTCATGGTAGAGTTTTTTCGTAATTACCTTTGTAATTAATGGCGATCAAATAATGTCTTGTGGAAAATATCCCT